CTCTCTCTCTCTCTCTCTCTCTCTCTCTCTCTCTCTCTTGTTTAAATCAATTATATTTACCATATGTATTTAGGAGAGGACTTTTATTAAGATGTAATAACTTGTTGTCCAATCCATTTGTATATTTGTACTTGTACAATACAATATGTTTAAACTAAATTTAAACATTTTGATAACATCGTAACAAACCTTTCTTTTTTATTTGAGCACACATCCACATTTTCCATTATTGTGCTTCCGCTGGCTAATCATAGACAACATCACCCAACGGTTTTAATTCAGAATTCGAAAGACATATAACATTTTAAAACTTTCCTTTTCTTGATAGCAACGTCCCAGCTAAGTTTCATTAAAAAAGGATTAACATGTATTCTTGTTTTATTGTCGTCGAACAAAAACGAGCCAAACATAGCTTTAATCGATATTTAAAGTACGGTTGCATTTGAGTAAGTTGAATACTGTGGAGTTTTGTTAAAAGTCTACTGTAGAATGTAGTGAACATTAATACCGACTACTGTTCACTACTATGTATACTACAATTAATACCACCAGTTCAGATGTTGGGTTCAGGGAATATGAGATCATCTTAAAAAATATATAATATAAAATGTATACAAATAGTCAGTTGGGCTGAAGAGACTATTTATTCACATTGCCGATCGAGAGACAAACATGCAATCAAGCGACTACCGAATCAGTGTCAGTTAACGCCCTTGGCACACGTTTATATATTAACGGTTCGTGTATTTATATTTACTGCGTGCAATCGTAATAAATAGAGGATATTTGATGGTGTCTTCAGTAATAACAAATATATTCCACGAGTGTGGCTAATATTTTGTTATTACTGTAGACACCATTACATTTTCTATTTATAACATTTTTAAAGCATAAAACATTAAAATTGTAATGCATTAAATATTAGCGCCATATTATAATGACGTCACGCTTGATAATAAGGCTGCGCGCCATTTTGAATGGGATACTCAACGCAAATCCGACGTTTTCTGCAATATTCTGTTATAATTGATTATAAAATGTTATTAATTGTATATTTATGTATACCAAACATTTACCATAACAACTATTCTACCGTCGCTTTATTTGAATCTGAACACAAATATCGTTACCTTTGAACGCAGCGAATAAAACATACCGTTCTGATTGGTCAATACCAAAAAGTGATATTTTCACACTGTGAAAATATTACTTTTGATATTTGTCACAGTGCGAAATATATCAGTCTTATCAAGTCGATAGAATCCGATATTTCACTGGCAAAAAGTAATAAATACATATATATATATATTTATATCTAAACTTTATTTTGCAACAAGTATGAAACACGTTACATGCATATAAACTTATGTCAATCACTCTTGTTGGCCCGGATGTTAGCGCGCAGTGGATTTTATTGTGGGAGTAAAATGGAGCGACTACTCAATCGTAATTGAGATAATCAAATCCATATAGCGTGTTTCAAGCTGCTAGGCGTTTTCAGGCGAATTCTTCTATCTAGACGCAGTTATAACAGGGAGCCTGACACATCGGTTAGTTTGTCAGTCACTCTTAACACACCTGCACCTGTCGACCGTTTCACCATGTGCGTACATTGATTGACATTGAATATTTTATCAATCAGTCAATCGTCGACAAATCAATCAATCGTCGACAAATCAATCAATCAATCAATCAATCAATCAATCCAGCAATCAATCGGCCATTCGACCATCCATACTTTCCTCACTCCATCAATAAAAAAATCATAACACACCAATCAATTAGATAATTACAATGTAGTTAAGCAATCAATCAGTATATTAATAGGCTTATGAATATTCACGTAGATTGTATTTCATTGCTGGAGCGTATACCTAATTGACATGTATACTGTAGAATACCTACTAGGAGTAATAACTATCCAAACAATTATCAATGTTTGTGTATATGCGTATGCATTGCAATAAAATATAAAATTTTAAAAAATCCTATCTCTCTGATTAATGTTGCGTAAACGAGTTTTATGTTCAGGACGTGATTACATGTACGTATATACATGAAATAGAACTCATTCAGTATCTCAAATGAAATTGAGTTTTGTTGTCCATAAAATTACGAAAATACACATAATAGCTCGATTCAACCTTTCTATACCTTGTTCTATAAATTCAAACTCTTCAGAAGATAAAACCAGCCAGATCAGCTTTTCCCCCTCGTTTCCGGATCTTACCTGTGTATGCTAATTCCCCAGACCACCTGTTGTACGTGACATGCGTACGTATATATATATAAAACACAAAGCCTGTTCCGTTTCAACAGCCAGACTGGCCCTTTAACAAACCTGATTAAAACGAAACGCGATACTTTAGCGTCGTGGAGGTACCTTGAAGCACTGGATGAATTTGATTGGTCCGATTAACTGTCATTTAGTTTGAGCGAAAAAAATAAACACACACATACACACTGCATTACACTAGATCGTACGTACCGTGCTGCCATGTGCTTTTTCAAGTTTTATACATGTCTTAAGTTTCTATGTTGCATATCTCATGTATAATATTTTATCTGTGCGACTTTAAGCTTATAAAGCGTATAGTGCTAGCTATTATAAACAAACCCAAGTTTAGATTGTGCTGAGCTGGAGGTACGAATTTGTTCTGAACCTATTGACATTAATTCTTGGACTCTGGTCAGATATCAGCTTGACTATTAATGAACAGGAATACTGAGCCGGATAGCCAAAACCAGTGCACTCACTCGACTCGGTGACGATAATTATATACGGATGGCGCTATACAATACATAAACCGACATGTGCTTTTGGATTATATTTAATTGTCGCCTTTAAAATTCTATGTCTATGAAAACATTCAGCAAAAAATGTGTGAATTCTGAAAATATGTGATGCTGTAGAACGAGCTTTGGATAATTAAAGCTTTCCCTTTCCAACTGTGATATTATAAAAACCATGATCGGATCTTCTTTATCCCTAGTGGATTCTACCTCATTGGCCTCTACTCAGGCGGTCGTGGTTCGAATCCTCATCATCTTTATGGTAACGTATACTTTCTTTTTAAAAAAAATACAATTAGTCCTTTCAGGAAATTAACAATAAGAAATACATCGATTTGATATATGTTTATGGGTCATCGTTCATCTGACAACAACTTTATGGTAATTCGGTTATATCTAAATAAAATGTCATTATAAATTTTTGCACAGGTATTGAATATGTCAATCAATTTGACAAATGTGCTGAATTGATTCCTATATAAACCAAGAGGTGTAAGAAATTTATCCCGTTAAATCTGCAAGTAACAAATGAATAGCTCCATTTAAACTGCACGTGATAAATGAGTACCCCAATTAAATCTGCACGTTACGACTACCCCATCAAATCTGCAAATAAGTATCCCATTTAAAGACATAAGTATCACCGATACTCTGTTAAATGGGGCAGGTAGGAAAATAAATCCTTAACCCTACAATCATTATCATGTACCCTCAATAAAGCTGCATGCTTTCATCCAGCGCCATACTCTGATCCAGCGTCATACTCTGATCCAGCGCCATACTTTGATCCAGCGACATACTCGATATCCTTTTGAACCCATCACAGATTGTCTGTATCACTTCGTAAAGGTTGCCAGCGTCACACTTGATATCTTTGACCCCGGAACACATTGACAGTGTAAAACTATGCTCTTACCCACCTTCACACCCGAGTACCATCTATCCCTGCGACGGTAACACGTCACAATTTCAACCGACTTTTTATCCGAGTATCTAGCAGCCTTATACAATAGGGACACATGTATCCGAGTATCTACCAGCCTTACACAATAGGGAAACTTGTATCCGTGTATCTACCAGTCTTACACAAAAGGGAAACTTGTATCCGTGTATCTACCTGCCTTACACAATAGGGAAACTTGTATCCGTGTATCTACCAGCCTTACACAATAGGAAACTTGTATCATTGTATCTACCAGCCTTACACAATAGGGAAACTTGTATCCGAGTATCTACCAGCCTTACACAATAGGGAAACTTGTATCCGAGTATCTACCTGCCTTACACAATAGGGAAACTTGTATCCAAGTATCTACCAGCCTTACACAATAGGGAAACGTGTATCCGTGTATCTACCAGCTTTACACAATAGGGAAACTTGTATCCGGGTGTCTACCTGTCTTACACAATAGGGAAACTTGTATCCGGGTATCTAACTGCCTTACACAATAGGGAAACTTGTATCATTGTATCCACCAGCCTTACACAATAGGGAAACTTGTATCCGAGTATCTACCTGCCTAACACAATAGAGAAACTTGTATCCGGGTATCTACCTGTCTTACACAATAGGGAAACTTTTATCCGGGTATCTACCTGCCTTACACAATAGGGAAACTTGTATCATTGTATCTACCAGCCTTACACAATAGGGAAACTTGTATCCGAGTCCTTCCTGTCTTACCCAATAAGGAAACTTGTATCCGAGTATCTACCTGCCTTACACAATAGGGAAACTTGTATCCGAGTATCTACCTGTCTTACCCAATAGGGAAACTTGTATCCGAGTATCTACCTGCCTTACACAATAGGGAAACTTGTATACGAGTATCTACCAGCCTTACACAATAGGGAAGCCAGTGACGTAGTAAGGTATCTATCCTGATGGCGGAGGATTTCCTTCTGTACCAGAAATAAGGTCACGGACAACCGATATTACCTGAATCAGGAAAAAACGTCAATAACATCCGTTAGAGACCACAATGGTGTCTATTTAACATACAAATATTTCTGAAACATTATCACCTACGTGTATCGTATATTACAGTGTAATATATTTGTTTCCCGACCTTTAATTCCTAGCCGTATATTGCGACAAATGTGGGACCTAGGTTCCTTTAAATCTGGGTTTTTCTTGAGACATTGCGGAGACAAGAACCGAACAATCATGTTCTCAATACTTGGGATTTCCCACCTTTCTGTTAGCATATTTACTCCCGTTATTTCTATTGTGAATGATGCACTATATGAGAATTACGTTACAAAGGTATAATTTCCTTACTTTGCCGCCTAAGAAATGGTTTATAGACCGTTTTATGTAAGAATGAACTCCCATGGCGCAAAACGTTATGTACATATACTAAACATATACTAAACTTAACATGTTATGGTCCCATGGTTGATTCAACCATTTAACATTTCACCGATTAGAACAGTTGGAGTCATCACTGAGATATCAAAGTACCGTTTTGTTGACCGCATGTACATTCAAAGAGGTGAGGCTTGTCTGTAAGACAACATACGAAAAGGTTAAACCAGTCTGTGAGACAACATACGTAAAGGTCAAACCTGTCTGTAAGACAACATACAGTACGTAAAGGTCAAACCTGTCTGTAAGACAACATACAGTACGTAAAGGTCAAACCTGTCT